GGATCGTGATAGCGAAGCAACAAGGCATGGAGGTCTTGGGTGCCTATTTATCCCCGTCTGTGTAGGTTAAGGACCGATTCGTTGTACGTCCTCATATCATGTCAAACGCATGCCTAGCACTTAGTTGGCTAGATCTGGTGATACGACCGTGAAGCCGAGTAGCTCAATTTAGGCCGGGCCCTGATAAGTAAAAGTGCGCACACTGGAGGCAGTAAGGATGTGCGGAGAGCCAATGGCGTGAGTCTAAGGGCGGGACCGGGTCCCGATCTTCCTGGCAGATTGGTAGAATCTCTGAGGGTGCGGCGCTGATCGGACCCATGAGTTAGTCCTAAATTATACCAAAGGTGACCTAAGGCTACCTTCATAGGGTGTGCCTTGGTTTGTGTTAGGAATAAATTCCCCAGCTAGGTAGGAATCGATTCAAATCGCCATCTCTCCCGGATAGTGAGAACTTGACTGAGCAGCGGCAACGAAGAATAACTTAATGGAAACTTGATGGTTATGATAATGCTCAAATTATTCTTATACCGGATATGGTTACTAATGCTTGTTAGCTTAATCAAGTGATTGCTCTAGTATAGGTGCTAATCTAGAGATATGTAATTGAATAGGTATCCAAATTGATGCTAGAGGTACTAAATCTCCAAGTTATATTACTTAAGCTTTTATGCAAAATGTTGTCAAGCTAACTCCACCTCTTAAAGCCATGCATACTCCTTGGTGTCTTATTTTTTTGGTTTATGACGGGTAAGTCTAGCTGAGTACATTCTCGTACTCAGGGTTTATTCCCATTTGTTGCAAATGACATGATGTACCATGGTTATTGCAAGCATTGCATAACTCCTGCAGTTGATGGAGAGTAAGACCAAGGGCATGGTCATTCTATATCATCTCATCTATGTGCTTTTGTTGGAGATGATCCTAATCTGGCTATGTATTTGATCTATCATGATGTTGTTTCAAAACTATGTTGCTTCTGCTACTTCTAACTTTGAGTTATAATAACTTTGTTGAACTCTGATGTATGAGAACTATTTGTGAACCTGTTGTAACATGTGACTAGTTGTGTTGAATCATGTACGATCTTGGTTTGTACGTTGGTTTGTTTGAAATCCTTCGTGATTTCATCAGACTACCAGGTTTATATGGGTTCAAGTATGACGGTTTGATCGATTCGGTGATTGCTATTGTACTTGTGCTCTTATAAATTAGATGGTTCTATTACAGAGCTCACTGGGCAGAGCTCCGATTAGGGGATGCGCATGGTGTCGAGGGTGTCGACGTAGAGAATGTTGAGGCCGCTGCCTCCGTCCATCAGCACCTTGGTGAGGTGCTTCTTGCAGATGATGGGGTCGACGATGAGCGAGTAGCGATCCGGTCGGGCGATGTGGGAAGGATGGTCTCTCTAATCAAAAGTAATCAGGGAGTCCGACCAGCTAAGGAAAGAGGGGACGGCCATCTCGACGGCACATGCCTCTCTATAGCGTACCTTGTGTTGGCGCTTGGAGTGGATGGCGTCGGATCCCCCAAAGATCATGAGGCATTCCTTAGGGTCAGGGAAGCTGCCATCATCCTTGCCCACCGTGCCTCCTTTCTTGGCCGCCTCCTCCTTGCCCTTCCCTTCCTTTGGCTTGAGATTTCCAACGAAGACCCTCTTGAGATTCACCCAGTCGTGGATGCTATCGGGCAGGAGGAATTTGAGCCATGCTCGAACATGCTCCCCCATGTAGATGGGGAGATACTGAATGATGAAGTGGTCATCATCCACTCCTCTAGCTCGGTAGGCAAGCCAGAAGTCTTCGAGCCATATACCGAGGTTCGTTTCCCCGGTGTACCTAGTGATGTTGCTGGGTGATCAGAAGCGCTGTGGGAACGACGCTCTCTGGATGCGACGACCAAAGGCCCATGGCCCCTGGGCATCTGGGCTAGGGATCCAATCATTTGGTCGGCCACCATGCCTGGGATGCGTGTCCCCACACTCCTCAATGGTCAGGCTAGGGCCCATGCCGCCTGCTCTCACCGCCACTTGATGGACGTCATCATCGTGCCGGGCATGGCATCGATTATTGATGACACTGTGAGCATCACAGTTCGGCCCAAGCCATTCACGCATAGGTGGTCGGTGTGGAGCGGACGCCGGGTCGGGCTATGGTGCTGTCAAGGCCTACTGCCCTATGCCCAACAACTATAGTAGTGAGTGGATGGAGCGATTCGACTGGTTGAAAGGTCCTTGTGTGGTTTTGGTAATTGAGTGACAACCTAGGTGGACTAATTATGTTTATGTAAGATACATAGGTGAGTAGTCCACAGGTACACGTGTGTGAGCAACATATGCCATGAAGGTAGAAATGGCTCGAAGATGTTGCAAAGCTCACACATGTGATGATGAAGGAGCTCATTGCACATGAGACATGACATTGAGTCATGTGATGAAGGTGGAGAAGATCAAGACATGACTTGGCTTGATGGACCAGTTGCAAGCGTGAAGGGCAAGTTGAAGGCTTTAGAGCGATGGACCGCGTGGCGGTGAAGCTTGAGCAAGACTTGACACCGATGGATGAAGGCAACGGTGAAAAGCAAGTGAAGTCAAGATCGATGAACCAATATGATCACGTGATGATATGAAGTGGATCATATCATTGTTGATTGTGTTGGTGCATGTGTTGCATCAACATTGGAGGAGATGGAATGGAATGCGCAAGGCAAAGGTATAACCTAGGGCATTTCATTTCACCGATCATAAGGTGTGTAGAGAAGTTGATGACCGGGGTTAGGATAGATGGCCATACTATCAAGAGGGGCAAACTTGTTTGCATATCGGTCATCTAGTGTCACTCGAGTGATCTAACTTTGCATCGTCACTAGGATCGAGTGGCGTGGCAAGTTGAGTGGCTAATCCTTTGAAAAATGATTGTGAAAATGCAACACACATACACATGGTGGTGTACACTTGGTGGTGTTGGTATATTTTACACTTGGTGGTGTTGGCACATTTACAAAGGAGAAGAAGTTGGAGTTGATGTGGGTCAACTTGGTGAAGAAACAGAGGCGAAAGGAGGTCACTATGAGTGATCGGACGCTGGCCTTGGCAGGACCGGTGCATCCGATCAGTGGCAGCAGTGAAGGCGCAGGTGTCGGTCTTTGACCGGACGCGTGGTGGGTGTGTCTGGTCATGCTGATGTGGTAGCGCAGAGGAGAGGAGGACTAGATGCTGATGCTACGTTCGATCATGACCGACCGGACGCGTCCGGTCATAGTTGAGCGGCTCTAGGAGCTCTCTAGACTCAACCGAATGCTGCCCCTCCTGCGTCCGGTCGTGATCAAACTAACGCGTCCAGTCGTGAATGGAACCTCTCTAGAAACGACCGGACTCGGTCGAGGTGCATCCAATCTTGGCACTGTGCTACGTCCAGTCATCACTTGACCATTGAGATCAAGCGATTGAGGTTGAATGGAGGTGACACATGGCATGCATCCGTTGACCGGACACTAGACCGGGTGCATCTGGTCAATCTGACCAGAGCGTCCGGTCACCCCTAGCAGTGCCCAGTGAAGGGGTACAATGGCTCTATTTTCGTGGAGGCTATAAATAGAAGGTGGTCTCGGCCATGGCTGGGGTTGATCACCTTGGGGGACTTTATGTCCATGCTTGAGAGTGCTTGGGGGCCCTCTAACTCACTCTAGCTTGATAGTGTTCATCCAATTGAGTGAGTGAGTGATTCTAGTGCGATTGCTGTAGGGCTATGAGGATGCCACGCTAGCCGGAAAACAAATATTCGACCTCATAAACCAAGATCTGCTGCTAGTTATAGATCACGGGATTAGCACTAGATGCACAGGTGTAGCAGAAGCGAATCGATGTAGTCGTATGCGTCGTAGCAGTGCCGTGCAGCTACAAGGTCGTCCGTACAACCATTCCCTTGGTGCGGTTCATCCTTGTGCTCTAGATGCAGCACCTCCGAGGTATCCACACGTATAGGGAGGAAGCGTCGCGCCTCTGGACTACTAGGTCCGCGAGGAGCAGCAGGCGTGGGCGTAGGATGGGTGGCGGCAGTTGCCAAATGGCGTGGATACCTAGCCCCGTTGCCCACCCCACTTGTTTATAGGCGTCCCTAATGAGCTCCCGAGTTGGAGGCCCATTAGTAACCCTAAGCCTTGTCTAACTCGGATCCAATCTGAATTAGGCTTCCAGCCCCTTAAGCGTGCGACCCCATGGGATCACACACACATAGACATGGCCCGAGTACTCCTACTTGGCCACTAGTAGATAGCAACCTCTAGCAAGGCATGTCAACTCCTATGCGTACGCAAAGATCATATCAGATGAACCACCACAAAACCACATACTTGTTATTCCCTTGCCTCACGATATTTGGTCCAACTCATAGGTTAACACTTAACCCAAGCACGGCCATGCATTTCTTGATCTAATCATTAGAGTGATCCAGTGATATCTCTCTCATATAGAGAGGGGCAAATTCCATCTTGATTGTCTATGTCTCACATCATGTTTCCCAACAAACCTGAAAACCCACCTTTATAACTACCCTATTACGGAGTAGCGTTTGATAGTCCCTGAGTAGGTCGTTTCACATCTTGAATACATACAACAATCTCAGGTCTAAGGACATAACATACATGATGTGAATAGAGATAATAACAACATCTCACGTTGGGTCAGTCCAGCCCATGTCATACATGTGCCCACATTATTAGTTTGACATCTCCATGTCTATGACTTGTGAAACATAGTCATCAACTAATAATGTGCTAATCCATTATTCATGTGTGTCCTCACACGAACTCTGACTAGGGACAACATTAGAATAACCATACAAGTGAAGGAGTTTCACAAACAATTCACATAATTGATAATTGATACATGGTGTCTTTAATGGAAATTCAATGAACTCATAATATATCATGGATACAAGGCAATATAATCATCTCTATGATTATCTCTAGGGCATACTCCCAACAATCTCCCACTTGCAGTAGAGTTAATCTCGAAGATATCTAATACCCATAGCTCTCATGTTCGCCTCATGCTTAGGCTGTGGAAGAGCCTTTGTCAAAGGATCTGCAACATTCAAATTTGTGTGTATCTTGCACATCTTGATCTCATCTTGTCTAATGAACTCTCGAATGAGGTGAAATTTCTGCAGTACATGTTTGTTCTTTTGGTGATTCCTTGGCTCCTTAGCCTGCGTAATTGCCCCATTGTTGTCACAATATAGATTCAATGGGCTGGACGCATTCGGAAACACACCAAGTTCAATGAGGAACCTCCTCATCCAAACACCTTCCTTCACAGCTCCAAAAGCTGCAATGTACTCGGCCTCTGTTGTAGAATCGGTCACCATCTCCTGCTTGGAACTTTTCCAACTTACAGCACCACCATTTATTGTGAACACAAAACCTGATTGAGACTTTGAATCATCCGTGTCAGTTTGGAAGCTAGCATCGGTGTAACCATTTACAACAAGCTCCTCCTCACCTCCATAGATTAGGAACACATCTTTAGTCCTTCTCAAGTACTTAAGAATGTTTTTAACAAGTGTCCAGCGACTCTCTCCTGGATCAGCTTGGTATCTGCTCTCAACACTTAGAGCATATGAGACATCTAGGCGAGTACATATCATGGCGTACATGATGGAACCAACTGCCGAGGCGTATGGAACCTTACTCATGCGCTTCCGCTCATCAGCTGTCGAAGGACACTGTTTATCGCTAAAGCGCATACCATGTGACATAGGCAAGAACCCTTTCTTGGACTGTTCCATGTTGAACCATTTCAACACCTTGTTAATGTACGTATCTTGGCTTAATCCTATAAGCCTCTTCGATCTATCTCTATAGATCTTGATGCCCAAAATGTATGTTGCTTCTCCTAAATCCTTCATAGAGAAAATATTATTCAGTGAAGTCTTTACGGATTGCAACATAGGAATGTCATTCCCAATCAATAATATGTCATCCACATACAAGATCAGAAATACAACAGCGCTCCCACTTTCCTTCTTGTAAACACAAGGTTCTTCTTCATTCTGACGGAAGCCAAACCCTTTGACCACTTCATCAAAATGAATGTTCCAACTCTGAGATGCTTGCTTTAACCCATAAATGGATTTCTGAAGCTTGCAAATTTTTCCAGCATTGTTTGGATCAACAAAACCTTCGGGTTGTATCATATACACGTCCTCATCCAAATTTCCATTTAGAAAGGCTATTTTAACATCCATCTGCCATATCTCATAATTGAAATAAGTAGCTATTGCTAGAATGATCCGGATAGATTTAAGCATCGCTACCGGCGAGAAAGTCTCGTCGTAGTCAATTCCTTGAACTTGCCGAAAACCCTTTGCAACAAGTCGAGCTTTATAGACCTGAACGTTTCCATCCATATCCTTTTTCTTTTTATAGATCCATTCGCACTCTATGGGTCTAACCCCATCAGGCGGGTCAACCAAGTTCCAAACTTGATTGTTTTCCATGGAATCTATCTCGGATCTCATGGCACTTTGCCATTTCTCAGAATCTGGGTCCATCATTGCTTCTGCATAAGTCACAAGTTTGTCATCGTCTAGCAATAACAAATCCCCACGCAACTCACGAATTCTTGCTGACCTTCGTGGTTGTGGCAGTGTTTCTATTGCCACAGGTATCTCAACTTGTTCTGCTGCATTAGCATCACTCGTAGAGTCCTTCCCAACTGGCTCATCTTGAACTTCTTCAAGATACACCTTCTGTCCACTTTTCTCTCTTTTGAGGAACTATTTCTCTAAGAAAACACCATTCTGAGCAACAAACACTTTGCCCTCTGATCGGTTGTAGAAGTAATACCCTAAAGTTTCCTTCGGATATCCCACGAAAAAGCATTTGTTTGACTTAGGTGTTAGTTTATCTGTCATAAGTCGTTTGACATAAACTTCACAACCCCAAATTTTCAGAAAAGACAAACGAGGACTCTTACCAGTCCACATCTCATGTGGTGTCTTAACTACAGACTTAGACAGTACCCTATTCAATGTGAAAGCGACTGTTTCTAGAGCATATCCCCAAAATGATAACGGTAGGTCTGACTAGCTCATCATAGACTGAACCATGTCCAACAAAGTCCGATTACGTTGCTCGGACACGCCATTTCTCTGAGGCGTTCCAGGTGGCGTAAGCTGTGGAACAATTCCGCAACTCTTTAGATGATTGCTAAACTCGTGGCTCAAATATTTGCCTCCACGATCAGATCGCAAAGCCTTAATTTTCTTGCCACGTTGATTCTCTACTTCACTCTGAAACTCCTTGAACTTTTCAAATGTCTTAGACTTATGTCTCATTAAGTATACATAGCCATATCTACTAAAGTCATCAGTGAAGATTATGAAGTATTGGAATCCGCCTCTTGCTGTCATACTCATTGGTCCGCACACATTAGTATGTATGAGTTCCAGCAAGTCTGCCGCCCTCTCAGGAAAACTTGTGAAAGGCATCTTGGTCATCTTGCCCATCAGGCAAGCCTCACATGTCTTGTATGATTCAAAATCAAACGAAGTTAAAAGCCCATCAGAATGGAACATCTTCATGCGATTCTCACTTATATGACCTAAACGACAATGCCACATATAGGTAGGACTTAACTCATTAAGCCAAGGCTTTTTAGCACTTATATTATAGACAGGAGCATCTTCAAGATTTAAAATAAATAACCCATTCACAATGGATGCAGAAGCCACAAACATGCCATTTTTAGAGATCACACAACCATTATCTTTACTCGCAAATGAATAACCATCCTTCATCAAACATGAAGGTGACACAATGTTTCGACTTAAACTAGGAACAAAATAACAATTATTCAACTCCATAATAAATCCTGACGGGAGGTGGAGTTGCATCGTCCTGACATTCAACGCAACAACTCTTGCATTATTGCCCACGCGGAAATCAACTTCTCCCTTTTCCACGCTTCTACTTCTTATCATTCCCTGCATCGTATTGCAAATATGAGCAACCGATCCGGTATCAAATACCCAAGAATTAATATAAGAATTAGCAAGGAAAATGCCTGTAACATAAACAACAAGTGACCTTTCCCATGATAATGAAAGCACTCAGCATTAGCAGGTGGTCCAGCCTTGGGCGCAGGTGCGTTTGGCTTAGAGATTTCATCTTTAGCCTTGCCCTTTTTCTTCTTCCAAGAATTGCCCTTCTTCTTAAACTTAGGCTTGTTTTGGACCGCCATCACATGGCTACTGCCATCACCTTTCTTGATATCAGCCTCTGCTGTTTTAAGCATGCCACATAATTCATTCAAGCCCTTCTCCGTCCGATGCATATGGTAATTCATGATGAAATTTCCATAGCTGGGCGGAAGAGACGCGAGAATAAAATTAGTAGCTAATTCAGGGCCAATTGGGAAGCCTAGCTTCTCCAACCTCTGAGTGTAACCAACCATTTTGATCACATGTGGCCCAACTGCTACGCCCTCTGCTAGCTTGGTTTCAGCAAAAGCCTTTGAGACATTGAACCTTTTAGTCCTGGCTTGAGTCTGGCACATATCATTGAGCGCCACGATCATATTGTGCGCTGCATGGTTATTGTCAAACTGTAACTGCAGATCTGGTTCCATACAAGCAAGCATAAGGCAACTCACTTCAAGATCAGCATCACATGCTCTCTTGTAAGCATTTTTCTCTGCAGCAGGTGCATTATCAGCAGGCTCTTCTAGTAATAGGGTGTCTAGAATTTCTTCCTTTTTCTCAGCCCTGAGAACAATTCTCAGGTTGCGGATCCAATCCGCATAGTTTGTTCCACTCAACTTATCTTTCTCAAGAATTGAACGCAAAGTAATTGGTTGATTGCTAGGCGCTATTTATCTACAACAAAAGTAATGCAAAATACTAAGACAATGTATCCAAGATAGAGTAAACAATATTAAACCTTTAATAGAATCTACTCCCACTAAAATCAATATCCATCTCTTGAAACTTAGTGATTCAAGACCCACAACTAACAAGTCTACTAGTGAGCTTTAGCATCACCTCTAGAAGACATGGTAGATTGGTAAGCAACTCTTTGCTAATCATATCACATATGACTCTTGTTGTTGGGTAGCATCTCTATGCTTTGGTGCCCAACTACTCATGCTCCAAGGTCCCTAACCGTTAGGTTGACCTTGTCCAAGTAACCAACCCTTCTGCTATAAGTATCCGATATGAACCTGTCTAGTCAAGGAAAACTAGTGGCACCCTAATTTCATAGACCCACTACCGATTGTACAAGACACATGAGAGTGCAAGGTTTGGGAAGCATTTTAACTTAAACATTGCCGAGGGATCGTTCTACTTCACCATCGCATGTAGACAAAAATATTATCGCACATGAAAGTAGAACATAGTAAGAACGACATTAACATAGATATGACATGGTATAGCCCATTGTTCCTTTGGGGATCTCCATCCCATCGAACTGTTCCTCATGATGATCTCCATCTCCATGATCCATGTATGCCATCCTTCAGTGATGAATCCACCAAGACTAGCTATCACTAACGCAAGGCAGTGAAGAAAATTACATAGTCACGGATAGGATCATCACAGTTTGGCACGTAGGCCTTTACATCAAATTGACAATATCTTTGTGGCTCCAGCCATATTGTCATACTCACGACATGCAAGCCATGAATTAATTACATACATGCATCACATACACATAAGGGCTATACCAGTCATAAATTTTAACAGAGTTAACCGATTCCGACATCTAATCTTAAAACGCCGAAAACACCATCTTCCTGGCCTTTTTTCCCAAATCTAATTTCAGCAAAACCGCCAATAGCGGTGAGAATCGGATGTAAATTTTTTCTCTACAATTTTCATATAGAGTTCGTCTCAATCCGAGGTCGTATGCAAAAGTTATGGTTGTTTTACCGAACAACACTTTTTCTTGCACCCCGGCGCCCGGCAGTAGATCCAATCTATCACCGCTGTGCATCACATGCGCTCGGCACTTGACCTAGGTTCGATTCGATCAATCTGATTGATCTCCATCTTGCCATGACTGAATGGTGGAATTCCGACCAGTACGAGTAGATCGTTACAAGACCAACACGATAAAATCACGAACCATGATCAGAGACTCATCTACAACCGCGCATATCTCCATACACACTCTTCTGAACCTATAACAACGCAGTAACTGGCTCCGATACCACTGTAGGGCTATGAGGATGCTACGCTAGCTAGAAAACAAAAATTCGACATCATAAACCAGGATCTACTGCTAGTTATAGATCACGGGATTACCACTAGACGCGCAGGTGCAGCAGAAGCGACTCGATGTAGTCGTATGCGTCGTAGCAGTGCTGTGCAGCTACAAGGTCGTCCGTACAACCATCCCCTTGGTGCGGTTCATCCTTGTGCTCTAGATGCAGCACCTCCGAGGTATCCACACGTATAGGGAGGAAGCGTCGCGCCTCTGGACTACTAGGTCCGCGAGGAGCAGTAGGCGTGGGCGTAGGATGGGTGGCGGCAGCTGCCAAATGGTGTGGATACCTAGCCCCATTGCCCACCCCACTTGTTTATAGGTGTCCCTAATGAGCTCCCGAGTTGGAGGCCCATTAGTAACCCTAAGCCTTGTCTAACTCGGATCCAATCTGAATTAGGCTTCCAACCCCTTAAGCGTGCGACCCCATGGGATCACACACACATAGACATGGCCCGAGTACTCCTACTTGGCCACTAGTTGATAGCAGCCTCTAGCAAGGCATGTCAACTCCTATGCGTACGCAAAGATCATATCAGACAAACCACCACAAAACCACATACTTGTTATTCCCTTGCCTCACGATATTTGGTCCAACTCATAGGTTAACACTTAACCCAAGCACGGCCATGCATTTCTTGATCTAATCATTAGAGTGATCCAGTGATATCTCTCTCATATAGAGAGGGGCAAATTCCAACTTGATTGTCTATGTCTCACAGCATGTTTCCCGACAAACTCGAAAACCCACCTTTATAACTACCATGTTACGGAGTAGCGTTTGATAGTCCCTGAGTAGGTCGTTTCACACCTTGAATACATACAACAATCTCAGGTCTAAGGACATAACGTACATGATATGAATAGAGATAATAACAACATCTCACGTTGGGTCGGTCTAGCCCCATGTCATACATGTGCCCACATTATTAGTTTGACATCTCCATGTCTATGACTTGTGAAACATAGTCATCAACTAATAATGTGCTGATCCATTATTCATGTGTGTCCTCACATGAACTCTGACCAGGGACAACATTAGAATAACCATACAAGTGAAAGAGTTTCACAAACGATTCGATAATTGCTAATCGATACAGGTTGTCTTTAATGGAAATTCAATGAACTCATAATATATCATGGATACAAGGCAATATAATCATCTCTATGATTATCTCTAGGGCATAGTCCCAACAATTGCATCATGAGGTTGCATCGAGTGGCACTAGCTGATCAAGTTGCAAGACGGTGGTGCTTGTTACTCTTGGAGGTTGCCACCTCCTAGATTACTTGGTGGTGGTCTCCATCGAAGCCCGCAAGAAGCTTGTGCGGTGCTTCGGAGAGAGCTTCGTGAGGGGTATTATTCTAGCCCCACGGGAGCCATGAAGAGCAACTCTATTTGATCGTGTCATTGAGCTACCCTTACTTTCGGGGTAGGTTCTTGCGGTGCCCGACGTGCGGGCTTGGCAGGTGATGCCAATTAGTCACCGAACCACCAAGTGAGCGGTCGACACAACGGGGACATAGCGTGTTGGCAAGCATGTGAACCTCGAGAGAAAATTCACCGTGTCAACATTGTTCTTCCCATTGGTTTGCAATCCCCTTACACAAGCTAGTAATTACTTTCATATACATTATGCTTGTGTAGTTGCTCTTGTGATTAGTTAGCTTGTGTAGCTCACTAGTTACCTTCTTGCTTGTGTAGCATAGAAGTAGCTCCCTTGCGTGGCTAATTTGGTTTGTGTGATCTTATTAGTCACATTGCTTAGTTTGTGTAGCTAAGTATTTGCACTCTCTAATTTGGCATTGGTTGCCTTTTTATTGAGCATTGCTAGTGAGCTTAGGTGGCTTTGAGCTTTTGCTTACTAGCATGTGTAGGAGCTCCCTCGTTGCTTGAAGTACTAGTGACATAGGTTTGTGTGACCTTGCTTCTAGATGTATCAGAGCTATTCACCCCCTCTAGTCCACCATCTTGACCTTACGAGTGGTATCAGAGCTAGGTATCTCATTTGTGGTCTTCACCGACCTGAGAGGATGGCGTCTAATGGGATAGATGTTTGTGAGACACACATTTTTTATGGCACAAACTTTGCACTTTAGAAAAATCACATGCTTGATTATTTTCGTGTAAAGGGACCTAAGTTTTGGTGGATTGTCACTAGTGGTCTCACCCATGTCTTGGATCATAGAAATCTCACCAAAGCTCAAAGTGTTCTTTATGAACTTGATGCACATGCTTGTTGTTTTCTAATGGATGCTTTGACTTTTGATTTGATGAAGCAAGTAAACATCACGAGAACCGCTCGTGAGATATGGGAGTCCATCAAGCGTACCTTCAGTGATTCCTCCGCATGGGATGATGGCAAATTCAAGGAGGATGAGCCCAAGAAAGTGGCGCATGAGGATGTTGAGCATGACCACAACTTGGTGATTTTGGAAGATTGCTCCACCTCATGGTCAAGTGATGATGATGATCGATCTACTACAAGTTCACTTGATAAGATTGATGGTGATGCCTCAAGTGATATACATGATGATCCTACCCCATGCACACTTGATGGTGATGATGGTTCATGCTCAAGCCATGATTGTGATGCTACTTCAAACTCTCTAACTACACCACATTGCTTCATGTCATAAGGTGACACCAAGGTATCAAATGCTAATGTGGTTGATCATGTTGATTCATATGATGAGCTTGTTAGTAGACTTGCTAGAATGACTATGTCTTTAGAAAATGAGAAAGCTAAAACATTGAAATTGGAAAATGAAAACTTATTTCTAAAGAACTCTTGTGAAGAACATAAGAAATTACTTGATGTTCTAAAATTGAATCATGAGACACTACTTGATCTCTTGAAGAATTATTAGAACAACATGCTTCTCTCATTAAAGTGTTTACAAAGAAACTTAAAAATAATAAGAGCTCATCACATGGATCAAATGATAAATTGCAAAATGTTGCTAACCCTTGTGATGTAGGCAACAAGCATGTATCCACCTCTTGTGATGATTTATTAGATATGCCATGGTCTTCCCATATAGATGCTTGTTCTACTTCTATGTCTTGTAAGACTAACCTTTTGAAGGAGAACAATGAGCTCAAAAATAAAGTGAAGAATTTGAGCAACAAGTTAGAGAGGTGCTACAACCCAAAAGTCACCTTTGAGCACATTTTGAAGACTCAAAGAAACTATGGTGACAAGTGTGGCCTTGACTTCAAGAAGGAGATGACAAAGGGTGAAAGAAAGATAAAGAAGCTACAACAAAGAAAGCTCTCTCATACCATGTGCTATCGATGTCATGAAGCAGGACACCTTGCAAATGGTTGCCCTAACATTGAGAAGCTCAAGAAGATAAAAGAAGAGGAGAGGCTCAAGCATGTGAAGTGCTTCAAGTGCCGCACTTGGGGCCATCTTACCTCAATGTGCCAAACCAAGCAATTGGTGAAGCAACTAGAAGAGCCTCAACCAAAGCCATAAGTTGAGCAAGAGAAGACACCCCAAGATCAAGTCAAGATCTATCATGAAGATGGTGGTGACTTGATGAAGAAGAAGAAGAAGAAAACAAGAAGGGGTGGAAAGGCAAGGCATCCAATGCAAACTCAAGATGCCAAGATGACGAGCAAGACACAAGATGAGAAGAAAGTCTATGCTCACATCAAGTGCTTCAAGTGTGGAAATATGGGAAACTTTGCCTCTAAGTGTCCTACCAAGCTTGAGAAGAAGACTCAAGCAATCCATGAGAGGCAAGGCAATGAGAAGCACCACATGAGCACAGAAGAGAAGGCTCAATCAAAAAGAAAATGCTACTCATGCCGGGAAAGAGGACACATGGCACATTCATATCCCCTAGGTAACACTCCTAAGCCTATTTCAATTGATGATGATTCTATGCTTAGGAAGGATGGTAATGGTACCTCTATGGTTGCTATTGCAAAACATCCCACTACTCATACTAAGGCTTTGTCTAAGTATGTTGCTCCTAACTTGAGAGGACCCAAAATTATTTGGAGACCATCAAAAAGTGGATGATAGTTCATAGATACCATTGGCATTGGAGGCTTGGTTCAAATGGTATTCATCTTGTTGATTATGTAGTTGAGCCAAGTATTAATAAGTGATGATCATTATCCCAATGCCATGACAAATTGAGTGAAGTCCAAGTGCTATCAACAAACAAGTGCTATAATTCAAGTTGTTGGTGATTTATTGATATATATATATATATATGATGGCTTGTAAATAATT